AGCTGGTATCTAGCTGGTCACAAAGTCCTCTGTAATAAAGACTACATTTCCCAGTCTCGTTGGCAACTCTGTGTGGCCATGTGTAAATTCTGGCCAATAGGATGTTAGCAAGAATGCCAAGAGTAATTTCCAGGAATTGTCCTTAAAGGACTTCATGATCTCTTCCTCCCTTCTGGGGATGTGCTGCCAGGAGCTAAAGCAGCCACTTTAGACTACGAGGCAGCAAGGTGAGGATGACAGAGAAATCAAAGAGATGGATATGGGCTCCACGAAGGTCTCAGAGCTCCTGAAATAGCCCTTGATTCCTATTTCTGGAAAAATAAAATTGTCTTGTTTAAACCACCACTCCTTTGCATTTTTGTCACGCAATTGAATCTAAGACTAATTGATCCAGCATTAAGGAAATGCTCATTCCATTTCACTGTAGCCTTTACTTCATTCAATTTAATGGACTTATGAAACCCCTGCTGTAAAGAAAGAGGAGGTAAGGGCTTGTAACCTGAGGGCTCACAAACTTAGACAGGAAAAAGTTCATCTTTACTTTACAACCTCTGTTGGAATGCAGCATTTTGGTGATAAGTAGTATTAACAGTACCCGTGACTTTGTCATCAACAGATATTTTCACATCATAGTACATGTGTTACAGATATCTGAAAATATCACTTACATTTACTCCTATTTGAAATTAGGGAAGTTATTAAACCCACTGCCAGATTTTATTATTTAACACACTCATGAAGGTACAGACTGGTTCTCTGGGAAGTGGGTTCTGAGGCTGAGTGTAGCGTACGAGATGTTTAGGTAGTGCCCCCAGGACGGACAGCCGTGGAAGGGAGGGGAGGAGAGCAGGGCTGTGCACAGGAAGTCGAGCTGTGAGCAGGGCCAACAACAGCTTCGGCCGACCACGTTGGGGTCTCTGCAGCCAAAACGGACCGTCAGAGTTGCCCCATGTTGAACGTTTCTCTGCCCACTGGGGTCAGCCATTAGATGTGGGGCTACCCTAGGCCCTCTTCCCTGAGGGGTCTGTGCCCTGGTCACCACGTCCCTCTGTGGTGAGCAGAACAATGCCCCCACCAAAGATGAGCATGTCCTAGTCCCTGGAACCTGTGAATACGTTACTTTATGTGGCAAAGTAGACCTGGAAGCTGTGATGACATTAAGAATCTTGAACTGGGGAGAGTATCCTGGATTATGTGGGTGGGCCCAGTGTCATCGCAGGATTACAAGTGAAACAGGGAGGCAGGAATGTCAGAGTCGGAGAAGAAGATGTGACAACAGAAGCAGAGGTTGGAGTCATGTGATTGCCGGCCAGGGCCACAAACCAAGGAACGCAGGCCACACCCAGAAGCTGGAACAGGCAAGGACGCAGATGCTCCCGCGAAGACTTCAGGAGGAACACAGCCCTGCTCACACCCCATGAGTGTAGCTCAATGACATCTCTTTTGGCCCTCTGACCTCCAGAAATGGGAACCCTTGGTTCCCACACCCATGTATTCTTTTTTTGTTTGGACTTGTATAAATTCTATAGTATCCAGATCTTATTTCTAACACAGCCTGGGAAAACTTATATTTAAAAAAAAAAATTGAAGCCCAGAGAAGTTAATGAATTTGTCTACTGTCACACAGGATGGCTAAGATTAGGACCCGGTTCTTTCCCTATGGCATTCTGCCTTCTGTGTTTCTGTATGGTGGGCATGGTGTGCTGAATTGGCCAGGAGACCTCTATTTCAGGAAGAGGGAGGAGCAGGGAGAAAGGGAGGGGACGCATTTTCCTGGCCTGAGTTAGTGAGCCATTAGCTACCTCCAGTGATGAAATTATGTGGAATGAACACTCGACTCGATATTACATGTAGTTAAATGATGGATCTGCTTAAGATTGTTTTTCATTACCTCAATCTAATGTAGGCAGATGGGATCGTTGGTATCAGAAGACCACAGTGGCATCAGGTCCCAGGTAGTTCTCATTGTCCTGTGTCTTAAAGGAAAGAAAATGAGAAATTTCAATGGGGAACAGTGTTAATAAATGGTTAAAGTTTATTTTACATATAGAAATAAAATAATGTGTAGCAAAAGGATTGGTGGTGATAGGAAATAAATAACTACTATTTATCGTTTAATGAATGTCCACTGTTTGTGAGGCACTGTGTAAGAAACTTCACAATACTAGCCCTGGCTGGTGTAGCTCAGTGGAATGAGTGCAGGCTTGTGATCCAAAGGATTGCTGGTTCAATTCCCAGTTGGGGCACATGCTTGGGTTGTGGGCCAGGTCTCCAAATAAGGGGCATGCAAGAGGCAACCACACATTGATGTTTCTCTCCTTCTCATTCTCCCTCCCTTCCCCTCTCTCTAAAAATAAATAAATAAAATCTTTTTTAAAAATTTCACAATACAACATAAGAAATATATTTTAAAAGATATATATATGTGTATTAAGATATATATGATCACTTAATCCCTTTTATCAGTCAGCTTTGCTGTGATAACAAACAACCCTCCAAATTTCAGTGACTCAGTCAGTCAATGTCTATTTACTGCTTATGTTATGCATGTTAAATGTACTTCTTGTGTTGTTCATTCTGGGGCCCCAGCTGAAGGAGCATGCCATTCTGGTGGTGGAGGAGATAAGTAACAATGGCAGAAACTCGCAATGCCTCTTAAAGCTTCTGCTGGGACAAGTCTGTATCACACCCACAGTTCTAGTTGCCAAAGACTGTCATGTGACCAGGCCAAATATCAGTGGAGGAGTGGGGTGGGGACAGTCCTGATCGCGTGATAACAGGAGAGGACGTGTGATCCTCACACAGGAAAGGGGGTAAGGAAACACTGGGGACAACAAAGAAATGTAAAGCAATAAAACAAGATTAAAATTAATTCCCCTCTCCACTTTTGAGAGAAGATGAGTAACTGCTAATCTCCTCCTAGAGTTTCAAAATATCCCTTGCAGTTGGGGTGATTAGGTTTTGATAAAATGTAACCTAGGGCTTGAAGGTTAGATAGGATAGGTGCATGGAGAAAAAGCAAGGACTTTGTAAACAGAGGAAAACTCCAGAGTACAGGTGGGGAAGAATTCCAGTCAAATAAACAAGGTAGCCACAGAGAGATGAGAGGGAAAACTGGAGAGGACAGGGGCTCCGCTGAGGGGCTGGGGTAGGGTGGGGGATCTGGGTGTGGAATACTGAGGAGTCGAAGGCTAAGGAGTTTGACTTCACTTAGGGGTCAGTTAGAAGCCTTTAGCTATCTTAGAGCAAGAGAGTGTCCTGATTAAATGCTTGCTTTTGAAGAGTGAGCAGACTAGGGGGTTCAGGGTGGGCTGGTATACAGAGAAACAGAGAACAGGGAGACCAGTAAGGTCACTACATGTCCAGAAGCAAGGTAAGGGTCTTTAACTTAACCAAGGATGTTGGCAGTTAGAACAACAACGAAAAGGTCAATCCCAGAGACTCAGAACCTATGGCTTTAGAAATTTGCTCCTCTCCCAAAAGAGAAATTTGCCCCATCTCTATCATCCATTCAGTGCTCCCAATAATAACATAGTAATTAAACCCATGTGAATAATTTTTAATAACTTGACTTTTGTATTAATCTATAACATACAATGTTGATTTTTTTAAAAATGAATTTAAAGCCTAGGCAAATTAAAGCTTCAAGACAAGTTCCCATCCCCCTCGGACAAGATGGTTGTCCCCGAACCCCCATACCTATAAAGCCTCCCCAGCCAGGGCTTAAATTAGTTATCAGGGAGACCAACGTAAGGCCTGTCAAAGAGCAAAATTCCATGGAGTAAATTTTAAAGATCTAATTGGCTTTATTGAGTGATTCATGAATCAATCAGGCAGCATCCCATCTGGCAAGTAGAGAGGGACACTGAGAATTTGTACAAAATGGAAGGTTTTTATAGACCAAAACTGGGCAGAACAAGAAAGTTATTATCAAAAGAAAGGATTCTTTCAGGAACAGGACACCTTTCTTCGGTGGGGAGGGTGGCAAGGGTCTTATTAGGCAGATTACCTTATTAGTGTTGATCAGGAAATTCCAGACTGGTTGGTAGTTTAAAATTCCACTCCTGGGAGAGGCTGAAACTACAATTAGGTCAGGTATTAACTTTTAGTTTCAGTGAGGCTGCTTAGCACAAGTGACTCCATTTTGGGCCTGTGGTCTGTTTCTCGATAGACCAAAGCTGGTAACTGGGTGACTGGGAAAATGAAAGCTTCTGGTCAGTCTGAGGTGTGTTATCCAGGTGAGAAACTCCAGCAGGCACTTTGGAATTCAAGTCTCAAGCTCTACTTACAGTATAATGGTGTGCCAACAAATGAGAAAAAAAATAGGTGTGTATGTGAAAATGTTTTATAATGTGACTAGCGCCATTTGAGCCTTCGTCTAATTTAAGATTTTATTCTCGGGTCACTTAGATTAATAATAGATTCGAATGTTCCTTGTTTAAAAAAGGCACTACCATATTACAACTGAATTAGCCTGTTTTAAGAGGATTTGCTAAGGAAAGAATTGACCTTGGTCAATAACAAAAACAAGGTGTAAAGAAAGCAGGCTTAAATGAAGCAGGCCCGAGGAAACTGATCTCCAACAAGGAGACCCATTTGGGAGACTCGGGAAAGGGTCTGCGGGCCCGCCAACCAGAGCAGACTGAACCCGGGGATGGTTTTACGGTCCAGGTGGACAGTCGGAGGAGCCGCCATGTGAAAATTCGCCCAAGACGTTTCCGAAATAGGACATCACCCCAGGAGGACGAGAAGAAAGGGAGCAGCAGATGTGGGAGTAGGACACCCAACATCTTCCCGATACCAGGTGGCAACCAAGCCTCTTTCCCGAGGGTGGCGACCCCTCAGATAAAACAAAGGCTCCAGCCGCGGGAGAAGACCCAGGTGCGCGTGCGCCACGGAACGCGCGTGCGCGCTGCGGTCGGTGCGGCGGCCCCAGGGTAGGGGTGGGAAAAGGCAGGCGGGCCAGGGAAGCGCCGGGAGGAGCGAGCCGGGAGGCGGGAGACAGCCGAGCTTCGGGACGCTCGCGCGCGCCCACTGGTGGCGGGAGGAAAAGACGCCCGCGGAGGCCTCGCTGTCCGCCTCTGCGCCGGGGTGGCTCGCGCTCCTGCTGCTCGCGCTTGCGCCGCCCGCCGGTCTCGGGAGCGCTCTCTCTCGCTGGTGCGCGCGCTCGCAGTCTCTGCCACCCACCCGCTCCCGCACCAGCTCCGGCACCGGCAGCAGCACCGCCGCCGCCGCCCACCTTCAGCCGCCGCCGCCACCACAGACACTTTCTCCTCTGCTTTCCTCTACTGTCTTCGCCCTCTGTCGACTGTCAGGTAGGCGCCAGACTCTGAAATGTGCCTCCCTGCACGCCCTATGCGCCCGCAGACCGCCACCCCTCGGCCCCCCGCCTCAGAGATGGCTTTCATGAGGTGGGCATTGGCGAGGGGCAACGGCGGGGGTCATTCCCTGCGCTCTCTGCATTCCGGGGTGGGTCTTGGGCGGCTTGGAAAGGGACCCATGCAAGGGATGCAGACAGGCGTATGAGTGTGTGTGTGTGTGTGTGTGTGCGTGCGGATGTGTGCTGGGGGTTCCACACGACCCTCTTTGCGAGGACACGGGCAGAGGTTGTGCCCGCAGGGTGGGGCACGGATGGCGGTGACCTGGGGGAGGGGGCTGCCATGCACTGTCGATCGCCGCCTTTTGCCGCAATGGGCATGTATGTCTATGTGTGTTGGGGGGGGCTCCAATGACGACCCCCAAAACCGAACCTGTAATCCGTTTTCTCTGTCTCGGTTTGCCATCAGCCCTAAGGAAGGTATGGATCGGGTTCTAGAAGACATGACTCCCTGCCTGCCCCTCCCTTCACCTCCCCGGTAGCGATTCCAATGGGGCTTTCGCTGCCCCTGATTTAAGGCGGTGGTCCGTCCCCCGCCTCCGTTTTCCTCCTTCAGAAACCCGCAGGGGACATTTGGGGGCAGGGAGTGGAATTGGGGAGATGGGGAGGGGTCCAAGCACTGTCACTTCAGTTGCCCTTCCCCCTGCGCGCGCCTGGCACCGAGACGCGAGCAGCGCCGTGCCCGAGAGAAGGTAGTGCGCGGTTGCCAGTGTGGAGGTTCGGGAAGGCAGGGATCGCCTGGCCTGAGATGTGGAAGGTCTCGGCAGCCCGATGCCGGCTCGCAGGTGTTCACAGCCGCAGACCCGCGCGGGGCTGCAGGTGCACTTCGGGCGGGCCCCTTTCTCTTCGCTCTGCGCCCGGGCGTCCCGTTTGTGCGCTCCCTGCCGGAGGCGCGGTGCTGGCGCGCAGGGCTCGCCCCTCACTGCGGCAGTGGGTGTGGACCCGGGTGGGCGAGGACGGGGAGGGTAGGCTGTGCCTCCTCCCACTCCCACCCCCGCTTTTTTCCCCTCCGAACGCGAGGTGCCATCTTTTTGCGGCGTGTCACGTCTTTGCGGTGCCATGCCAAGCCGGGCGGCTGGGCTTTGGAGCACAAGGTGGGGCTATTATTAAGGGGGTGCGGGTGGGGGGCAATCGGCGCCGAAATCTTGGCGTTTTGCTGCTACAGGGTCGAGCCCTGGGAGCGTCCACCCAAGATCTTCCTGAGGGCTCACGGCTTTGTTTGTAGGGCTAACATGATCTGCGATGCCAGCCTGGCTTTTTGCCTTGTATTCTATAAGGGTGTTTAATCAAGGCCCCCACTCTTCCACCCGTGTTTTTCGCCCCTCATTTCTGAACCCTTTGTTAGATCGCGGGGCTTTCTGGGGTCGACGAGCCCGAATCACGGCTCTAGAGTCATGCGTGAAACGGGCGTGACACTGATCGGTCCCCTCCAGGAGCCGGGCCGCGCGCCGGGAAGCATCCTCAGCCGAAGGGGTGGGATTCCAGGTCTCCCAGCGCTGTGATGGTGTCTGCCAAGGGACTACGCCCCACCCCACACCCGGAGCGAGCGCCCTGGTGGCCACGCCCCACTAGGCTGTGCATTGAGGGCACCGCGACCCTCGGGAGGTAGAGGGGGGCTCGCAGGCGGGGCCTCTCTGCTTCGTGCCCTGTTGCTTCGCTAGGCGGGAAGATGGGAGGAAGGGGCAATGAATTTTCTTCTGATGCTCCGAGCCACACCCATTCCTCCCCTACCAGCCCCAGCAGACTGGGAGGGGGGCGCCGAGGGGTGGTTGCCTTGGAAAGCACGAGTCTTGGTAATGGCCTTTGGGCGTGGCCATGCCCCTTACAAGCAGAGATTAAGAACCTTGGGGTACGAGGAGCCGCGCCCCCTGGGGGACTCTGGTGGGAAGCCCCAATCTCGAGCGGGTGGCTCTTCCTAATTGGCTTCCCGCCGCTACAGCCGCCCAGATAGGAGTCCCTGAGGTATTTGTGGCCAAGTACTATTTTAGTACTATTTTAGAAACGTGTGGCATTTTCACTTAAGAGACAGAGTTCACTGCCGGCCTTGAAACTGGGAATGAGGGGAGAAGGGTGGTTACCGACCCCTGGCTTGCCCTCCTGTGATGAGCTGGGTCTGCGCGGCTCTCTGGTTAATTCTATCGCTGAAAATTGGCACGAAGCTCAGAGAGCATCTTAGGGGCCAAATCATCCCCTGGAGCCGCGCAGATTGAGCTGAATGTCCAGGGAATGGCTTGGGTCAGGGTCTAATAGTCCACTCTAGACTATTAGGGTGAACCTTCCCGACAATGGCGCAGGCCAGGGGTGTCAAACTCATTTTCACTGATGGCCACATCAGCCTCGTGGTTGCCTTCAAAGGGCTGAAATAATTTTAGGACTGTATAAATGTAACTACTCTTTAACTGTTAAGGAGCTGAAGTTACATTCGGGCCTTTGAAGGCAACCGCGAGGCTGATGTGGCCCCCTGGGGGAAAATGAGTTTGACACCCCTGGACACTGTAGGCGATTGGAGCTGGGGGCCTGCGATGCCCCCCACCCACTCCGCTTCGCCCCCACTTCAGGCAGAGCTGGACCCGCCGCAGGCAGGTTGCAGGAGACTCAAGGATCCATTTGAGCTTCTTCTCCCTTTCCTTAACATCCCACATCAGCCAGAGCTGGGCGTGGGATTCTGGTTCCAGACAGGGTTTCCTGGTGCCTGTGGCCTGGGACGGACCACAGGCAGAGAGGTCACCTCCTGTAGGTTGGCCCTGCGTATTTAGCCCAATGCCTGGAACCAGGTGCAGTCCACGCATGCCTGATTTCGTTCCATTTTGAAATCTGTTGGCAGTTTGGTGGGGCACTCTGGTTTCAAAGGCCTGGGGGCTGTTAATAGAGGATCCCAGGTACGGAGCCGGGGTCCTTTGTACTCGGATGAGGAAATTCCATGCCTGGCTCTGCGCTTGGGGATCTGGAGGGATGCAGCGTGTGCGCCCACATGCAGGTGGTGGAGAGCTGAGTCTGCCGTGGTGCTTTGGGAAAGGTCCTGTCTTGGAATCCCCAGCATGTGAGGGCTGTTTTACGTCCAGTAGACCCCCTCGGCCTCCGGCGCTCAGGAACCTGGAGCTCCAGGCCCAGCTGGTCCAGACTGCCTGGCCTGCCCCTGCAGGCACCGCGTGCTCAGGCTCAGCAGGAGGCATTGAGTCTTATCTGATCCCTGTCTCTCCCATTGACTCAACCTATGACAGAATGAGAAATGCCTTTCTTACCATAATCAATTAAGGTATTATTTTTATGTTTTATGATGCTGCTTGTGTTTACTTACCACATAAGAATTGCTTATACATTTCCCTGTCTACAAACCCTTCTTCTGAACAAATAAATTTAGCACACACATACACCCCACTCCAGGCACCCACCCCCGCTTGACTCCAGAGCTAGTCAATTCCTGGACCAGCGTTTGCTTCTGTAACAGGTTGTGTTTGCTGCGGTAACCTGGCTTGGCTCTCTGGGTTTTGCCTTTGGACAATTTGGGGGAGGGGGTTGTTGACTTTTCTGTTCTTTTGAATGAGTGGCAGTCTGTGATGTGTAACCCTAACTCCAGTGGACCTCATCTGCATACGCCATCATGGAAGGGTGGGGCTTTTCAGGGGTTTCCAGTATCAGGCGCCCCTCCCCTAACAGGACGGAAGAGATGGATTATTCCCACAAACTGCAAGAAGAAAACTTAGAATCCATTTCTTTGAGGGAGGGTCAGACTTACAACATTGGGAAAAGAGTCCCTTCCACTGAACATGCCCTTTGACCCCCATGCCCTTTGAGGTCAGTGCCTGCCTATGGATGGAATAGGATTTCGGTGCCCTTTGTTTAGGTTGAAATCTTCTTCTGCCCTTTTAACATCAGTTCATGGAGGCCATTTGTGGAAACTTTTAGAAATTGTGTTTTATTCCGCCTCCCCTCGGCATTTGTCTACGGTATAAGCGGCTCCATAGCTGTGTGTGCGAACATGTGTCAGTTTTCTGATCGAACACACGGTAGTTTTCCAACTAGATTGTGCCTTCTGTTTAGTCTCTTCCTCATGCCCACTTTGAAAAAGGAAGCCTCAAAAACAAATAAAAACACTCCTAGGGGCTTCATAAACTTCTCCACATAGAGTAGGCATTCCAGCCCATACTTGTTTAACCAATGAATGGATACAATGGGGAAATACAGGTCAATAGGTAAAGAAGAAGAACAGAATGGGAAGAGGGCTTTATTCAAGATCATGGCATCAGGAAGGTTTGGGGACAAATCCAATCAAGTTTGGCCCCCAGCCCTGTATCCAAGTGACCCCCAGAAAGCTGCCTGTGCCCCTCTATATGCCTCCATGCCCTCCATGCCCCCACTTCCCCAATCCTCCAACCTTCCCACTGCAGCACTCACTGCTTATGGTCCCACAGCCTGGTCCCCTCTGGTCGCCAAAGAAGAGAGGAAAGGGGAGAAACCACACTTCACACTGAGGGAAGGAGACCCTGCCCTGTCACCTTGAGAGCTGCAGTGCTCCTTGTGCCCCGAGGTCAGAGGGACAGAGATGGGAGACCCCATTCGCCTCTGTTCCTTCCACTTCCTCCCACCCCACTTCTTTCATCTTCCCACTTCGGAGACCCCCAGTCCCTTCCAGAAACGCCCACCCGACCAATGGCTCCTAGACCATCTGGTTACCCTAGATGCTTCCACTAGTGACTTGGAGCTGGCTTAGGGAGAGGCCCCCTGGACAGGTGAGGGGAAGGGAAGACTGACCACCTGGGCTGCAGCAGGGAGAGAAACCCGGCATTCCACCTAGGACTCTCGGCTGTTTTCCTATAAAACGGTGAGATGTCCAGAGACATTTTTTTATTTTCACACCTGAGGGAGGGTGCTACTGGCCTCTAGTGGGTAGAGGCCAGGGGTGCTGCTAATCAAACTACACGGCACAGGACCCTTCCC